CCGCACACACACATACACTCACATATACACACACACATACACCACACACACACACACACACACACACACATACACACATACACCACACACACACACACACACACAAGTACATACACATAAATACACCACACATACACACACATAAACACACACACAAACACATATATACACCACACACACATACACACATACATACAAAATGTTAGTTTTCAACCATTATGCCATTTTTGTAATTATCATCACCATCTTTGCCATTATCAGAACACGCCATCGCTATCATCATCATCACCATCATCCTTATCACCATCGTCATTATCACCTTCATCATTATCATCACCATCATGATTGTCGGCATTATCATCATCATAGCTCACTTTTATCATCATTATCGTTATCATCTCTACCACCATCACCAACACATTCATCATCATCATCGATATTGCTACTCGATTTTTTTCATAATTAACTTCACTACCATCATCATCATTATCACCATCATCATCACTTATCATCACCACCAACATCATCATCACCGTCACTACCAGAAAACAGTTGGTTAGGTACATCATGTCACTTAGGAAGCCTGCAATCACCGTCTTCAACCTACTTATCATTTTGTTTGTTTTATGTGCTCCCATGTGTGCGTGTGTGTACGTGTGCGTGTGCGTGCGTGTGCGTGCGTGTGTGTTGTGTGCATGTGTATGTTAGTGTGTTGTGGGTGCATGTGTGGTGTAGGCATATGTTTGCTTGTGTGTGTGTACATGCATGCGTGCAATGGTTCAAACATCGCAAACATAACTGTCGCACTTGCATCAATAGACTCTTGCTTCTTCTTTGCGCAGGAAGTCGCGTGGAACTTTCGCCGTGCGTTTTGAAATGTTGTCAATGCAGCTGCTAATGGAACGTGTTGTGGGTAACATACGTTTGCGATGTCTTTTCGTTGTACCCTTCTAAAAACTCGTTATATTATATTGGTGCTAACTTTGTTATGTTGGTTATAATAGAACCCTTCGCGGTTGGAATTTTCAAAAACCGTAACCGCACAAAACCGCAACATTTGAAACCGCACCGCAACCGCAGCGTCGAAAATCGCAACCGCACCGCAACCGCACCGCAAGAAATGAAAAACAACATTAATGCTTTTATTGACATTATAAATCACAACTATCCACATCCATATCACTGTTACTCATAATAAATAACATTTTGTCAATTTTGTATGGATTTAAACTGGACCGTCTCTTTTGCAGTGTGTAATTGAGAGATGATCCTACCCTTTCTGACGAAACACTCGAAACTTTTGGACAGCATCAATTTAATCAAAAATTCTTTATCAATTACATCTACCTGTGGATCAACTTCAACATTTTTTACCTCGGACATTTTTATAAAATAATCGATAATTAACCACGCCGTAAATAAAATAACTACTTCTTTCAAAGTAAACAGGAAAAAGAAATGGTTGCTTCAACGGCTTCCAAAGATATTAAGATTTTAATATATAAAATTATTACAATGATAATGCAATTTTGAAAATGTTATGGACGAACAAAAATATTTAACAAAATTTTTGCGGTCACCGCGGTTTTGATAAAAAAAAACCGCGCCGCGGAAAAACCGCATATTTCAAAACCGCAACCGCGTAAAACCGCATGATTTTGCACCGCAACCGCAAAAAACCGCGACAACCGCAAACCGCGCAGGGCTCTAGGTTATATGATCAAATCATTGGTGAATGTAAATAATGTTTGTTGTGAATAACTGAGTGAATTTATTTGAATGGTGTGGATGTGGTGTGTGTGGATGTGGTGTGGATGTGGTGTGTGTGAATGTGGTGTGGATGTGGTGTGTGTGAATGTGGTGTGGATGTGGTGTGTGTGGATGTGTGTGGATGTGGTGTGTGTGGATGTGTGTGGATGTGGTGTGTGTGGAAGTGTGTGAATGTGGTGTGTAGATGTTGATATGTGGATGTTGCGTTTTTGTGCATCTGTTGAGTGCGTGATGGAGCGAGCGTGTGGGTTGCGGTGTTGTGTCATGGGCGATCATCAGTGGTTCAAATTACATTCGACGCCATCTGCCGGTGTGACGTCAGTTTGTTTTTATTGCAATTGTTTGGTCCGTTCTGTTTGTCTTCTTCATTATTGTTTTGTTTGTTTGTTCGCAATTGTTTGTTTGTTTTGTTCACTTTTTTGTTGTGTTAATTATCATTTTGTCTTGAGTTTTATTTTTGTTTTTACAAAAATGTCAATATTTTTAAAGATGTTTTTTTTAAATAAGATGAAAGCATGTGCACTTTAAATTGTTTCTAATTTTAAAATAAAGATGGCATGTTTTCATTATTTTTATGGCTGTTTGTTCATCACTATTTTGTGTCCAATAAGAATCAGTTTTATATTTTCCATGTTAGTCGCAAAAATTGGATTCTTCGATTTGGAAAACATTCAACAATCAACAACAAACAGTCAACAACCAACAATCAGCAACAAACAATAAACAACCAACAGTCAACAACAAATAGTCAACAATCAACAACAAACAAGTCTCATCAACAGAATATCATAAAATAAAAACAGTCGTTAGAAAATAAATTGAGTAATTTATTTAAGAACAAATTTGAACAAAGTGCTGTCAATTGTTGGTTTTTAATGTTTTTCTGCAAGTAAATTTGGCAACGAAAAATCTGAAATGCAAAAATTGAATTGGATGGTTTAGCAATCAATAACTTCTTCTCACTATGGCAACAATTAATAAATTTTCTGCTGTGGACTTTCATGGAGGCCACGGTGTGAAAAAGCGAACAGTCGAGTTTCACGTCAGCACAGATATATTAATCTTTGTATGATTATTTCAAAAACTGCAAATTAACCGAGCAAATAAAATTATTAATTTGTTATTTTTCGTTTATTTTGTTTCTTCGTTTCTTATTTTAACTCTATTTTGTTTTCTCTCTCTCACCTTATCTTATTCTTTTTTGGTGATTATGAATATACATACGGACAGTTTTCACTTTTAAGAACATACCTACCAACATTCACTTGCAAAAGTCACACACACGCGCGCGCACACACACACACGCACACACAAACCCACGCACACACGCACACGTACGCACTGAACACTTTGCAGAGAGTTCTACTACATTCAGATGGAGAAGTATGCGAGGCAGGCGATTGCGGAGGGGGTAAGGTGCGCTTCGAACCTGCACGTCACGTCCGACAGTGAACTCTACCGAATCCTCGTCCTTCACTACAACAGGAATCACAGAGTTGAGGTTCGCAAATTTCTGTCTTTCAGTCCATTTTTTTAAATTTTTGATTTTTATTAATTTGTCTTAACGTTTTTATATGGCAAATTTTTCTATTTTACCATTTTCCTTTTGTTAGTTTTGTAGCTTTTACTCTGAAGTTGCATTTGTCATAAATATTGATATAACCACAAATGTTATTGCTGAAAGATTTAGTCTTATTAGGTCCCAATTAAAAGAAGGGTCAGTGTGCAAACATTCAAACGTACATCAAGATTCATACGATGTACGTGCGGTCCCGTCGCGTGCTTTCTACTCGAACAACATTCAATATTTTCTTTTATTTTTGTTTCGTACTAATTGTTAGATAGGACTTGCGACAATTTAGTTGCAACGCCAAACAACTGTAGGACTGGGTAGTTGTAGTACTGGGCTGTTGTAATACTGGGCTGTTGTAGGACTGGACTATTATGGTTCTGGCCTGTTGAAGCACTAGGCAGTTGTAGCGTTGTACAATTGTAGTAATGAGCAGTTGTAGTACTAAAGAATGCCTTATCTTCAGTCTCTGAAAAATCTACTTGACTTTTTCAGCAAATAAAACAGAACTTTAAATGCTAGAAATTGTTGACATGACTTTTATTGTTCATCCAAAAGGCACCTTGCACATGCTGTGGTGAACCTAATTGTGGAGCTTAACCATTTCAATTAATTAGTTCAAGTGTTACTCCTCGTTCCAAAAACTCTGTTTAAAATAATCACATCTGACTCTTTAGTGAGCTTGGTTTCTCTTTCTAACGCATAATTTTTAATTTTTTAGGTTTAAATTTAGCAAGAAACATTTCTTATTAAATATATATGTTAGGGGTTTATTTTACTAGCAATGAATAATTAGATTGATGGAAAGATGGATGGATAGATAGCTAGATCGATGAATGGATTGATTGATTGATTGATTGATTGATTGATTGATTGATTGATTGATTGATTGATTGATTGATTGATTGATTGATTGATTGATTGACGGACGGACGGACGGATGGACAGACGGACGGACGGACGGACGGATGGACGGACGGACGGATGGACGGATGGATGGATGGATGGATGGATGGATGAATGGATGGATAGATAGAATGATTAATAACTTAATTCTGTCTCATCAGCTGAAAAGTAGCCTTTTCAAGTTCCAGTTTTATATCTGATGTCAATGTTAAAGTTAATCATTGGCGTTGTATCAAATATTGTTTGTGTTTGAAACCTATATGTATTTGTCTGTGCATGTGTGTGTGTGTTTGTGTGTGTGTGTACGTGTGAGTATGTACGCATCAACGTATGTAGTAAGTATGTATTATTGTGGATTTGTACTTATAGTTTGTACGCGAAAGTAAATGAACAATGGTTGATAGATGCGGTGTCAATTTCATAAGCCTCCAGGGAAGAACTGTTCGTCGCTTGCTCGCTTGTTTGTTTGTTTGGATGTTTGTTTGTTTGTTTGGATGTCTGTTTAATTAATTGTTTGATAAGCTGGTTATTTGTTTAGAAATTTGTTTGTTTGTTTGTTTATTTGTTTGCTTGATTGTTTATTTGATTAGTTGTTCGTTCGTCAACTTATTTGTTTAATTAGTTTGTTTAGTGTTTTGTTTGATTGTCTGTTTTGCATTTTGATTGTCTGTTTATTTGTTCGGTTTGTAGTTTGGTTGTCTGCTGCTTGGTTATTAATTTATTCGATCTGGTTTTGGCTTCCATAAATTATTTACCATTGTATAGATTTGATTTGTTTTCATGGAATATTTTTAAAAAATAAAAAAAGCTTTGAAATAGAAAATATTGATTTTTATTATAAATAAAATGAATGGTTACATTCTAATCAGAATAATTAGCTTCGAATTGCAGAGAATATTTATTTGAAACGTGAGCACAATGCGTGCTTCATTATTATTTCATTTTGTATCATTCATCAACTTTTGTTCAACCTGCCTACTCGAAATAAAAACCAACACGTGAGAGAAAAAAAAGAGGATTGTTGCATGGTTTGTGTGTGTGTGTTTGCGTGTGTGTTGTGTGTGTGTGTGTTGTGTGTGTGTGTGTTGTGTGTGTGTGTGTGTTGTGTTGTGTTTGCGGGTGTGTTGTGTGTGTGTGTGTTGTGTGTGTGTTTGCGAGTGTGTGTGTGTGTTGTGTGTGTGTGTGTTGTGTGTGTGTTTGCGTGTGTGTTTGCGTGTGTGTTTGCGAGTGTGTGTTGTGTGTGTGTGTAGTTTGTCATTGTTTCAATTGATTTTTGAATAATTGAAAAAAAATTGAACGAGAGGAGCGGATGTCAA